ACGGCTCTGTCAAAAATTTTCTTAATTAAAATACTTATTAATATTAACGAAATACATATTACTTTCTTGAATTTCTTTATAAGTATTTAAAGGAAGTGCGTTTTTATAACCATGTTGCACTTTATGTAATGGCTGTTATAGATCTTATTTATACAACTAATAATCCTTTAAATCCATTAATGCTGCTTAGGTATCCCGAAATGTGTTTTCTACTGTGTAAGAAATTAGTTATAATTAGAGTACCCTTAGTAAGGGTATACATAGCGTAAGACACGGTAATTTCCATCCAACCATTTTGAAAGCTCCTAGACCACTAGCAGAAGAACTTTCTGTTGGCCTCATGAAAATTTGTTTGACACCTTAAGCTAGGCATAAAATGCAGGAACTTCTTAGCCCCAAACTCTGTGTATGCTTCTGTCAGTTGTTACAAAAGACACATGTCTTAGTCCTGTCTCCTGTCACCTAACGAAGCAAACGCATACATTTTTTATTCAAACTCATAGCTAGGTCTTTTTTATGAGCTGCGATACAGGCACACCTTCAAATATGTAAGTAAGTTACCTTTAGATAAAGCATATTCATTAGCATAAGCATATTGGACTCTTATTTATATTTAAAAACTTACTTCAAAAGACTTTTTTTTTTTTTGCGAATTATTAGTAAGGGACTTACAATTTTTCCATTAAAAACAAGAAAGGAAGCTAGCTTCGGCAAGCCGAAGCTTATATACACTTGCAGTCATCAAAAATGTCGAAAAAAGTGCATAAAGGCTAAACAACATCGAAGCTAAGACAATTTTTCTATTCATTTTCTATATTTTCAAATGTAGGTCCGATTTTGGTCAAATTTAATTCGTAATTCAAGAGTCGTAAGAAAACTCTATATTCCTAAAATCATACTTGTCTGATAAAAAAACAACGATGTTATAATTTTATTTCCGTTATTTCTATATATATTTTTCGATATTTCCTATAGTTGTCCGATTTTTATGAAACTTTTTTTCAGTATAAGAGTGGTTAAAAAACTTGATATTCAAAAAAATCAATTCATTTCCATTAATTCTATATATATTTTTCGATCTGTCCTATGGCAGCTATATGATAGAGTTATCAGATTTTGATCAATTTTAATCCGAAATTCAATAACATTTCGAAAACGCCATCTTGAAGAAATTAAGTCGATCTAATCAAAGACAACGGCGTGAGAATTTTTTATTTCATTTCCTCGTATGGGAGCTATCCGATATAGTCGGCCGATCCGGCCCGTTCCGACTTATATACTGCGTGCAATAAATACACAACTTTTGAAAAAGTTTCCGCAGGATAGCTTCAAAACTGAGAGACTAGTTTGCGCGGAAACGGACAGACGGACAGAAGCACAGACGTAATCTGATTCTACTCGTGATGCTGATCTGTAAGGGTATAAAAACGTAAAAGCAATTTCAACACAAAAAAAGTATTATTCACCTGATTTTGTGAATTCCAAAAAACACATTTATTGCTAAAAACATAGTTAACAATAGTGTAGGGGTAGTAAAAAAGGACACAAAACTGTACTTGCGTGGGAAAGGCAAACGGGTTTGCTTAGAACAAAAATGCGATAAATTATATGTGGTCACAAAGGGCCTCGACAAGACAAAGGAAAACAATTATAGACTGTGAGGGAGAATCTTTGAGTTACACAGAAAATGCGCAAAATCGAAACGAGGGGTCTAAAGTGTTGCCAAAGGATTGTGCGTTCTACTGGCCGTTGTGTAATTTACAAGGACCAAGGAAACCGGTTGACCACCATCAAACAGCTGCTTGTTGAAATGTAAACGTTAGAAAAACAAAAGGTCCCAAAATATGAAAAATGAGTTACAAACCTTTTTTAAGTTAAAGGAAGTTTTTCTTAAGTAGTTTAACATTTTTCTAAAAATAAATAAAACACATTCAGCCAAAATTATTAATATGTAGTACCCGATAGTCTTAAAAATAAATATACATTTCTTTTAAATGGTAGCGCAAAACTAAAAAAGTACAGTGAATCTAAAAAACTTCTGTAAAACAGTTAAAGCGTGTTTATGTCATTATTTGAGGAATTCTTACCTTAGGCATTTACACGCAAAAGGACACAACATGTGTTCTGTATATGTTGAACCCCCGGCAAGAAGCTTGGGTTTAAGTCCACTCACTTTTTTTGCAAGACCATTGAAAGCTCAAAAATAGTGTTTTTTTGGACATTCTGTGCTATTGACATCCTAATTCTTATCCTCCAGCAAAATCGTCGCTAGGAGATGATTCTGTGGAGACAGCCGACCGTTATTTGATGCCTTGTTAACTTTCATCCGCAGTTTGTTCATGGATGTAGTGAAGGGCAATAACTTGACTTGGTTTTGATTTTGTTTCAATGAATTTTCGTTTCTTCTTAAATAAAACGTGCATTAGATGGAGATGCCCTTTTTGAGCAAAAATTTTTATTAGCTTTAACTTTATTTCAAAATTTTAAACAATTTAAAAAATAAAAAAATGACTTAAGGCAGGTTCTCACCTTGTGGCAAAAAAAAAAAATATTTTTTTTGGCTTATCGTATAGATATATGTTCCAAAAATGTTTTCAAAAAATGTCACATCCAAATTTGAAATATTACAAAAGTTACAGGCCCTTACATGGAGCACATGTCGAGCACCGGCCTTTGGAAGCCAAAACTTTAAACGCGTTTAACTCGGAACCACGTTTTCGGACCTTACGGAAGTAATTGAAGGCGTTGGGGTTAACCAATCGTCATCAAATTTTTTCAAAATGTGCCTAATTGTTTCCTTTAACTAATGAACTAGGATTATCTAAAAATATTGAGAAAATAATTAGTGAGAAAAAAGCGCGAAAATCTAAATTTTTTTCAAAAGCTAATAACTTTTGCAATTTTCGTTTTTTTTTTCTGGATCCTAGTTCATTTTATGCACAGTACTGTACACTTTAAGAATCTTTTCGGTTTTTGTGTTTCCGATTACTCGTATTGGCTGGATCACTTCCGTAAGCGGGACACCTTTTTGCCGAAATGTTGCAACTGAGGAACGCCCCCTCCCGCCCCTTTTTTGCTTTTTCAATTTTGAAATTTTTTTTTCGCAAAATAAATATGTTTTCAAATAAAGTTACAAATTTCAGATTTTTATCTTTAAACGTTTTCTCAAAACAATTTTTTTTTTAAATGTCTATTTTTCGGCCCTACAAGGTGAGAACCTGCCTTAAAAATTTAAAACAAAATCTTCAAAATAACAGACATGGTCAACACGGTATGTATGTATTACATAGTATTATATCCACCAAAGGGTGGATTCTTACAACATTAAGAATTTAAAATAAAATCTTCAAAATATCATTCTTGTTCAGAAGTGTAAATATTTATTACATAATAGAGGGAGCAGCCACTTGTATATCTACCATAGGGGTTGCTGTCATCTGAAAACATTAAGACCTTTTTTACACAGATGTAAAAAACTTAAGAAAACATCATATTTGTTACATATAGAGGGCGCTCTCTATGCATTCTTGAGTACGTTTTCTGTTTGCATATAACATTTTTTTTACTGGCACCTTGCGACGCTCAAAAGTTTAATCTAAAAGTTTGTTCATATTAAACGTTGTATAATAATAATTTTTAAAAGCTTCGAAAGTTGTTTTTAAGGAATAAAATGACTTTGTAGCTTCGAAAAAAATGAAGAAGGTTGTTGTCCGTGTGGTCGTTTGTTTGTTTATCTGACAGTTTGTTTGTTTTTAAAACAAACAATAAAATAAAATTACAACATTTAAAAAATATAATATGTATAATAAAAAAATAAAAAAAAATGTAATTTTAAAACTTCATTCGCTATTTACTTTCGAAACTCACATAGTTAAACGAAAATGTTGTGCTGTGAGCGGGAGGGAGCTATAAGATACATTCTTTAGATTTCAAAAAATTTAAATAATTTCAAAAATCATGCTAATATGATGATACCAATGGCCGCGCCCAGAGCTTGCCTTCCCAAAAAACCCTAATACCACACCAATACCAACCGTTGACACCGTTGCTAATTTGTAATGGTAATTGGTCTGTTGTTAAGGCAAAAAACGACTTACAGCCAAACAAAGTATAGTTTTGGAAAGCAGAGAAGCCCAACTATCTATGCCACTGAATGCAACTTAACTTATCCTTGAGTAAGTTGATAAAATCTGAGTTGGAAAAGATTAGTTGACAATTTTGTTAAAAACACCATATTTTCAGTGGATTTTCGGTTGTAATAAGGCCAAATAGTGACTGAACCGATCCTTTTCAAATTTTTAACACAAATACTTTACATAAATACGCAGGTAACTTTATTTTTAATGTTCACTTCCTCCTTCTGGTTGCCATTTTCTCATCCTGGTGATAGTAATATTAATTACTGTGTGCTTATGAAAGTATACTGGGGGAAGTGATAGCAGCAAGCGCTTCCCGCACATTTCCCCCGTCTATTGGTATTTTGCATTTTTTTTATTTTTTTTCTTTAAGATTTATATGTTGAGAATACTGTGTGAAAATTTAAAGTCATTTAGAGTCAACTTAACGAAGTTACATTGATTTAACAGGGCGAATTTGAACAAATTTTTACGTATACTAAGTATATTAAATGCGCTCCCCGCGCAAATTTGTATTTAGCATTTTTTTTATATTTTCTTCGAGACTAATATGTCGAGAATATTGTGTGAAAATTTGAAGTCATTCAGAGAGAACCTAACGAAGTTACAGCGATTTAACTCTGACTCCCCCTCTATTTGTATTTAGCATTTTTACATAGCATTACATAGATTGCTACATGTAGGTACAATTAGTTTGCTGTTAATTTAACATAGATGTAACATTGCTTAGTTTAACAGAAACATAGATTAACATAACATGGCAAAGACTTAACATAATAACGTAATAAAATAACTTAAATCTAACAGGTGGTTGTGTTCTTGGGTGTCGTTTCGCGGAGCGTGCCGGGGCTAGTGGATATCGCCAAGCTGGTCGATTTGGTCACATTGGCAGTATTTGTGGCCAGAATTTGGTAAATAGGTTTTAAATAGGAAAATTACTAATTAAAACTACAATGTTTTTGTTTTTAAATTATAGATTCTGGCATCTGAATGGAATAGGCACTCGGCATTGGAGGCAGTGGCAGCAGAACGGTGAGTAAATCTTATTTTGCACCTGTTTTGCGTGTTACAATTGCTGTTTGTTTACATTTTTTCTTGGTGTTGGTGCCGCTTTTATTGTTGTTTAAAGCTAGCTAGCTGGTAAGTGTAATTTTTGTTATGATTTCCTCCACTACGGAGGGCCTCCAAAGAAGGCGCACATCCCTTGCAGCAGCAAGGCATGGAGCAGGTCCTCGTGCAGCCAATGATGGGGCTGCGAAAGACCAGTGGACATCAAGCTGGGTGTGCACTGAGCAGCGGCAATCGTGTAGGAGGACTCGTATGGTGAGTATTTCAGATCTTGTGAATTATACTCTAAATAATATATTTCTTTCAATTTCAGGATTCATTAAATTATGATCAAGGACTCCAGTTCCAATTTCTATAGCGTGTCGCAGGCAAAGCTCCAGCAAGTCCAAGGCAGGTGAGTCGAAACTTGTGCTATTTTATTTAAGCAGCCGTTGTGCAGTTGGCGATGAGGAGAGCCTAGAATGCAGTCAGGACCCCAATTTTTGGGAGAGCTGTCTAGTTAAGGACCCTCGCTCGCCTGGCATGCCAACAGCAAGGCCTTTGAATTTCATAATGAGGAGAGCCGAGTTGGCACAGCAAGGACCCCAGTCCCCCCTGTATTTGTATTTAGCTTATTTTTTATATTTTTTTTCTTCAAGTCTAATTGTCGAATATTGTCTAAAAATTTGTAGTCTTTTAGAGTCAAACTAACGGAGTTACAGCGTTTTCCACGACCGAATGTGGTCGAATTTTTCGGTATAAAATCACTTTTTTTGCGCGCGCCGCGCAATTTCGACCTCTTATTTATATGTTAGATTTTTTTTAATATTTTTATCTGATAGACCAATATGTTGAGCACATTGTGTAAAATTGTTGAGTCTTTAAGAGTCAAGCTAACGGAGTTACAGCGTTTTCCCCGACCGAATGTGGTCGAATTTTTCGGTATAAACTCACTTTTTTGCGCGCGCCGCGCAATTTCGACCTCTTATTTATATGTAGGATTTTTTTAATATTTTTATCTGATAGACCAATATGTTGAGAACATTGTGTAAAAATGTTGAGTCTGTTAGAGTCAAACTAGCGGAGTTACAGCGTTTTCCCCGACCGAATGTGGTCGAATTTTTCGGTGTAAAATCACTTTTTTGCGCGCGCCGAGCAATTTCGACCTCTTATTTATATGTTAGATTTTTTTATATTTTTTTTTCTTAAAGACCAATATGTTGAGAACATTGTGTAAAAATGTTGAGTCTTTTAGAGTCAAACTAACGGAGTTACAGCGTTTTCCCCGACCGAATGTGGTCGAATTTTTCGGTATAAAATCACTTTTTTTGCGCCCGCCGCGCAATTTCGACCTCTTATTTATATGTAGGATTTTTTTTTAATATTTTTATCTGATAGACCAATATGTTGAGCACATTGTGTAAAATTGTTGAGTCTTTTAGAGTCAAACTAACGGAGTTACAGCGTTTTCCCCGACCGAATGTGGTCGAATTTTTCGGTATAAAATCACTTTTTCGCGCGCGCCGCGCAATTTCGACCTCTTATTTATATGTAAAATATGTTGAGTCTTTTAGAGTCAAACTAACGGAGTTACAGCGTTTTCCCCGACCGAATGTGGTCGAATTTTTCGGTATAAAATCACTTTTTTTGCGCCCGCCGCGCAATTTCGACCTCTTATTTATATGTTCGATTTTTTTTAATATTTTTATCTGATAGACCAATATGTTGAGCACATTGTGTAAAATTGTTGAGTCTTTTAGAGCCAAACTAACGGAGTTACAGCGTTTTCCACGACCGAATGTGGTCGAATTTTTTCGGCATAAAATCACTTTTTTGCGCGCGCCGCGCAATTTCGACCTCTTATTTATATGTAAGATTTGTTTTAATATTTTTATCTGCTAGACCAATATGTTGAGCACATTGTGTAAAATTGTTCAGTCATTTAGAGTTAAACTAGCGGAGTTACAGCGTTTTAAACGACCGAATGTGGTCGAATTTTTCGGTATAAAATCCCTTTTTTTGCGCGCGCCGCGCAATTTCGACCTCTTATTTATATGTTAGATTTTTTTTAATATTTTTATCTGATAGACCAATATGTTGAGCACATTGTGTAAAATTGTTGAGTCTTTTAGAGCCAAACTAACGGAGTTACAGCGTTTTAAACGACCGAATGTGGTCGAATTTTTCGGTATAAAATCCCTTTTTTGCGCGCGCCGCGCAATTTCGACCTCTTATTTATATGTTAGATTTTTTTTAATATTTTTATCTGATAGACCAATATGTTGAGCACATTGTGTAAAATTGTTGAGTCTTTTAGAGCCAAACTAACGGAGTTACAGCGTTTTCCACGACCGAATGTGGTCGAATTTTTTCGGCATAAAATCACTTTTTTGCGCGCGCCGCGCAATTTCGACCTCTTATTTATATGTAAGATTTGTTTTAATATTTTTATCTGCTAGACCAATATGTTGAGCACATTGTGTAAAATTGTTCAGTCATTTAGAGTTAAACTAGCGGAGTTACAGCGTTTTCCCCGACCGAATGTGGTCGAATTTTTCGGTATAAAATCACTTTTTTGCGCGCGCCGCGCAATTTCGACCTCTTATTTATATGTTAGATTTTTTTAATATTTTTATCTGATAGACCAATATGTTGAGCACATTGTGTAAAATTGTTGAGTCATTTAGAGTTAAACTAGCGGAGTTACAGCGTTTTAAACGACCGAATGTGGTCGAATTTGTCGGTATAAAATCACTTTTTTTTGCGCGCGCCGCGCAATTTCGACCTCTTAACTATATGTAGGATTTATTTAAATATTTTTAACTGATAGACCAATATGTTGAGAACATTGTGTAAAAATGTTGAGTCATTTAGAGTTAAACTAGCGGAGTTACAGCGTTTTAAACGACCGAATGTGGTCGAATTTTTCGGTATAAAATCCCTTTTTTTGCGCGCGCCGCGCAATTTCGACCTCTTATTTATATGTTAGATTTTTTTTAATATTTTTATCTGATAGACCAATATGTTGAGCACATTGTGTAAAATTGTTGAGTCATTTAGAGTTAAACTAGCGGAGTTACAGCGTTTTCCCCGACCGAATGTGGTCGAATTTTTCGGTATAAAATCACTTTTTTGCGCGCGCCGCGCAATTTCGACCTCTTATTTATATGTAGGATTTTTGGTAATATTTTTATCTGATAGACCAATATGTTGAGAACATTGTGTAAAAATGTTGAGTCATTTAGAGTTAAACTAGCGGAGTTACAGCGTTTTAAACGACCGAATGTGGTCGAATTTTTCGGTATAAAATCCCTTTTTTTGCGCGCGCCGCGCAATTTCGACCTCTTATTTATATGTTATATGTTATCTGATAGACCAATATGTTGAGCACATTGTGTAAAAATTGTTGAGTCTTTTAGAGCCAAACTAACGGAGTTACAGCGTTTTCCACGACCGAATGTGGTCAAATTTTTTCGGCATAAAATCACTTTTTTGCGCTCGCCGCGCAATTTCGACCTCTTATTTATATGTTAGATTTTTTTTAAATTTTTTTTCTTAAAGACCAATATGTTGAGAACATTGTGTAAAAATGTTAAGTCATTTAGAGTCAAATTAACGGAGTTACAGCTATAATGCCGATGACGTGACAATATTAATGTTATTAAAATTAAATTCAGATTATATTAACATTACATTACATTAATGTTGCACTTATTATTTCCAAATTTAATTATGTTTTTAAAACATTCCCGTTGCAGGTAATGCTGATCCCTTCCAGCTTTTAGTGACCTATCGGATGCAGTGCCTCCAAACACTAAAGGGTGAGTACCATTTTTTTAAAATAAGTGATGCACGTCATCAATTGATACGTTACAGCGTTTTAACAGACCAAATTTTAACGACTGCTTGTACTTTAAATGCGCTCCCCACGCAGTTCCCCCGTCTATTTGTATTTCGCAATTTTTAAATATTTTTTTTTTTTAAAGACCAATATGTTGAGAACATTGTGTAAAAATGTTGAGTCATTTAGAGTTAAACTAGCGGAGTTACAGCGTTTTAAACGACCGAATGTGGTCGAATTTTTCGGTATAAAATCCCTTTTTGCGCGCGCCGCGCAATTTCGACCTCTTATTTATATGTTCGATTTTTTTTTAATATTTTTATCTGATAGACCAATATGTTGAGCACATTGTGTAAAATTGTTGAGTCTTTTAGAGCCAAACTAACGGAGTTACAGCGTTTTAAACGACCGAATGTGGTCGAATTTTTCGGTATAAAATCCCTTTTTTGCGCGCGCCGCGCAATTTCGACCTCTTATTTATATGTTAGATTTTTTTAATATTTTTATCTGATAGACCAATATGTTGAGCACATTGTGTAAAATTGTTGAGTCATTTAGAGTTAAACTAGCGGAGTTACAGCGTTTTAAACGACCGAATGTGGTCGAATTTGTCGGTATAAAATCACTTTTTTCGCGCGCCGCGCAATTTCGACCTCTTATTTATATGTAAGATTTTTTAATATTTTATCTGATAGACCAATATGTTGAGCACTTGTGTAAAATTGTTGAGTCTTTTAGAGTCAAACTAGCGGAGTTACAGCGTTTTAAACGACCGAATGTGGTCGAATTTTTCGGTATAAAATCACTTTTTGCGCGCGCCGCGCAATTTCGACCTCTTAACTATATGTAGGATTTATTTAAATATTTTTAACTGATAGACCAATATGTTGAGAACATTGTGTAAAAATGTTGAGTCATTTAGAGTTAAACTAGCGGAGTTACAGCGTTTTAAACGACCGAATGTGGTCGAATTTTTCGGTATAAACTCACTTTTTTTGCGCCCGCCGCGCAATTTCGACCTCTTATTTATATGTTAGATTTTTTTTAATATTTTTGTCTGATAGACCAATATGTTGAGCACATTGTGTAAAATTGTTGAGTCTTTTAGAGTCAAACTAACGGAGTTACAGCGTTTTCCCCGACCGAATGTGGTCGAATTTTTCGGTATAAAATCCCTTTTTTGCGCGCGCCGCGCAATTTCGACCTCTTATTTATATGTAAGATTTTTTTTAATATTTTTATCTGATAGACCAATATGTTGAGCACATTGTGTAAAAATGTTGAGTCATTTAGAGTCAAACTAACGGAGTTACAGCGTTTTAAACGACCGAATGTGGTCGAATTTTCAGTATAAAATCCCTTTTTCGCGCGCCGCGCAATTCGACCTCTTATTTATATGTTATATTTATCTGATAGACCAATATGTTGAGCACATTGTGTAAAATTGTTGAGTCTTTTAGAGTCAAACTAACGGAGTTACAGCGTTTTCCACGACCGAATGTGGTCGAATTTTTCGGTATAAAATCACTTTTTGCGCCGCCGCGCAATTTCGACCTCTTATTTATATGTAAGATTTTTTTGTAATTTTTATCTGATAGACCAATATGTTGAGCACATTGTATAAAATTTTTAAGTCTTTTAGAGACAAACTAACGGAGTTACAGCTATAATGCCGATGACGTGACAATATTAATGTTATTAAAATTACATTCACATTACATTAACATTATTAATTAAACATTTACACTAATGTTGCACTTATTATTTCCAAATTTAATTATGTTTTTAACTCATTCCCGTTGCAGGTAATGCTGATCCCTTCCTGCTTTTAGTGGCCTATGGATGCAGTGCCTCCAAACACTAAGGGTGAGTACCATTTTTTTTAAATAAGTGATGCACGTCATCAACTAATGCGTTACAGCGTTTTAACAGACCAAATTTTAACGTCTACAAGTACTTTAAATGCGCTCCCACGCAGTTCCCCGTCTATTTGTATTTCACAATTTTTAAATATTTTTTTAATATTAGACCAATATATTGAGAACATTGTGTAAAAATTTGAGTCATTTATCGTCAAACTAAAAAGTTACAGCGTTTCCACACCGAATGGGAATTTTGAACTATTTTTTTGCGCGCCCCGCAATTTCGACCTCTTATTTATAAGTAAATTTGTTTTAATATTTTTATCTGATAGACCAATAGTTGAGCACATTGTGTAAAATTGTTGAGTCTTTTAGAGTCAAACTAACGGAGTTACAGCGTTTTCCACGACCGAATGTGGTCGAATTTTTCAGTATAAAATCACTTTTTTGCGCGCGCCGCGCAATTTCGACCTCTTATTTATATGTAAGATTTTTTTAATATTTTTATCTGATAGACCAATATGTTGAGCACATTGTGTAAAATTGTTGAGTCTTTTAGAGTCAAACTAAAGGAGTTACAGCGTTTTCCACTACCGAATGTGGTCGAATTTTTCAGTATAAAATCACTTTTTTGCCCGCGCGCTGCGCAATTTCGACCTCTTATTTATATGTAAGATTTTTTTAAATATTTTCTTCTCATAGACCAATATGTTGAGCACATTGTGTAAAATTTTTGAGTCTTTTAGAGTCAAACTAACGGAGTTACAGCGTTTTCCACGACCGAATGTGGTCGAATTTTTCGGTATAAAATCACTTTTTTGCGCGCGCCGCGCAATTTCGACCTCTTATTTATATGCAAGATTTTTTTTTAATATTTTTATCTGATAGACCAATATGTTGAGCACATTGTGTAAAATTGTTGAGTCTTTTAGAGTCAAACTAAAAAAGTTACAGCGTTTTCCACTACCGAATGTGGTCGAATTTTTCGGTAAAAAATCACTATTTTGCGCGCGCCGCGCAATTTCGACCTCTTATTTATAAGTAAGATTTGTTTTAATATTTTTATCTGATAGACCAATATGTTGAGCACATTGTGTAAAATTGTTGAGTCTTTTAGAGTCAAACTAACGGAGTTACAGCGTTTTCCACGACCGAATGTGGTCGAATTTTTCGGTATAAAATCACTTTTTTTGCGCGCGCCGCGCAATTTCGACCTCTTATTTATATGTAAGATTTTTTTTTAAATATTTTTTCTGATAGACCAATATGTTGAGCACATTGTGTAAAATTGTTGAGTCTTTTAGAGTCAAACTAACGGAGTTACAGCGTTTTCCACGACCGAATGTGGTCGAATTTTTCGGTATAAAATCACTTTTTTGCGCGCGCCGCGCAATTTCGACCTCTCATTTATATGTAAGATTTTTTTTTGTATTTTTATCTGATAGACCAATATGTTGAGCACATTGTATACAATTTTTGAGTCTTTTAGAGACAAACTAACGGAGTTACAGCTATAATGCCGATGACGTGGCAATATTAATGTTATTAAAATTACATTCACATTACATTAATATTGCTACGTCATCGGTAATTATAATTAAACATTTTACACGTATTGTTGCACTTATTATTTCCAAATTTAATTATGTTTTTAACTCATTCCCGTTGCAGGTAATGCTGATCCCTTCCTGCTTTTAGTGGCCTATAGGATGCAGTGCCTCCAAACACTATAGGGTGAGTACCATTTTTTTTTTAAATAAGTGATGCACGTCATCAACTAATGCGTTACAGCGTTTTAACAGACCGAATTTTAACGTCTACAAGTACTTTAAATGCGCTCCCCACGCAGTTCCCCCGTCTATTTGTATTTCACAATTTTTAAATATTTTTTTCAAAAAGACCAATATATTGAGAACATTGTGTAAAAATTTTGAGTCATTTATCGTCAAACTAACGGAGATACAGCGTTTTAAACGACCGAATGTGGTCGAATTTTTCGGTATGAAATCCCTTTTTTTGCGCGCGCCGCGCAATTTCGACCTCTTATTTATATGTAGGATTTTTTTTAAATTTTTATCTGATAGACCAATATGTTGAGCACATTGTGTAAAATTGTTGAGTCTTTTAGAGTCAAACTAACGGAGTTACAGCGTTTTCCACGACCGAATGTGGTCGAATTTTTCAGTATAAAATCACTTTTTTTGCGCGCGCCGCGCAATTTTGACCTCTTATTTATATGTAAGATTTTTTAAATATTTTTATCTGATAGACCAATATGTTGAGCACATTGTGTAAAATTGTTGAGTCTTTTAGAGACAAACTAACGGAGTTACAGCGTTTTCCACGACCGAATGTGGTCGAATTTTTCGGTATAAAATCACTATTTTGCGCGCGCCGCGCAATTTCGACCTCTTATTTATAAGTAAGATTTGTTTTAATATTTTTATCTGATAGACCAATATGTTGAGCACATTGTGTAAAATTGTTGAGTCTTTTAGAGTGCAACTAACGGAGTTACAGCGTTTTCCACGACCGAATGTGGTCGAATTTTTCGGTATAAAATCACTTTTTGCGCGCGCCGCGCAATTTCGACCTCTTATTTATATGCAAGATTTTTTTAATATTTTTATCTGATAGACCAATATGTTGAGCACATTGTGTAAAATTGTTGAGTCTTTTAGAGTCAAACTAAAAAGGTTACAGCGTTTTCCACTACCGAATGTGGTCGAATTTTTCGGTAAAAAATCACTATTTTGCGCGCGCCGCGCAATTTCGACCTCTTATTTATAAGTAAGATTTGTTTTAATATTTTTATCTGATAGACCAATATGTTGAGCACATTGTGTAAAATTTTGGAGTCTTTTAGAGTCAAACTAACGGAGTTACAGCATTTTCCACGACCGAATGTGGTCGAATTTTTCGGTATAAAATCACTTTTTTGCGCGCGCCGCGCAATTTCGACCTCTTATTTATATGTAAGATATTTTTTAATATTTTTATCTGATAGACCAATATGTTGAGCACATTGTGTAAAATTGTTGAGTCTTTTAGAGTCAAACTAACGGAGTTACAGCGTTTTCCACGACCGAATGTGGTCGAATTTTTCAGTATAAAATCACTTTTTTGCGCGCGCTGCGCAATTTCGACCTCTTATTTATATGTAAGATTTTTTTTAAATATTTTTCTGATAGACCAATATGTTGAGCACATTGTGTAAAATTGTTGAGTCTTTTAGAGTCAAACTAACGGAGTTACAGCGTTTT